CCTATAGACATGCTTTCTAAGCGTAGTTTATTTTGAACGTGGTGTAGAATGCAGAAGACTTGTTTTAAAAAACTTTTGCACATGATATCTAGGTGCTGAACTGTTTGAAAACCTACGAACATGGTATCTAAATGCAGAAATTATTTTAAAACTATAGGCATGATTTCTAAATGCAGAATTTATTTTTTTAAGAACCTATAGGCATGATTTCTATATGCAGAAATTTTTTGAAGCTTGTGAACATGATATCTACATGCAGAAATTCTTTGAAACCTATGAACATGATATCTAAATGCAGAATTTATTTTAAGAACCTATAGGCATGATTTCTGTATGCAGAAATTGTTTGAAACCTATAGGCATGATTTCTATCCTTTTTGCATGCATAGTTACCCACCCTTTTCACTAGCCATCCCCAAGAGATTATTACAAATTATTACAGCCCAAATTAAAGTAAAAAAATACATCAGAAAAATAAAAATAAAAGTACAACCAAAGAGAGCCTGATTCAGACTTCATGTCTGAAATATAAGGTAAACCAACTCCATGAGATCATGATCCAAAGCCTTTCTCCCACTTGAGTGTGTCAAAGTTCCCTAAGAGCCTCAAAGGGACTCCGGGCAATGCTCACACCCAAATGTATTATCAGATTGGGACAAGTGCAGTGTGAAAGGGCCATCCCTCAAGTGTCCAAGCTCAGAGGGAGCTCAAAGGGTCCCAAGGCAAGGCTCACAAGAGGGGGGCAGAACTTAAAGACTAAGAAGGTGTGCAAGTGCAGAATATAGTGCTAAAAGGGGAAAGAAGGGGGGAATCAACTACAGCTAAGCATACACAAGGGGATTCAGGGGAATAGGGGTTGTAGGGAGCCTGTCGTTTAGGCAAAAAGGCAAACTTTGGGCATGCCCAGCAATGGGGAATGCTGGCACACCTATAAGCCTGCCAGAACACATACTGTTAGAGGCTAGGAACCCCAGGGGATCAAGTTCAATTCATGGACAATAACTTGCATACTGCCATGCCTCAAACCATAGCTTAAACACATATGGGGCAGGGGTTTGGGATTCATAATAGAACAGGCTGAAAGGAATCAATAAGCTATTATGCGTGTTGAACTATACATATGCAGTAAACAGGGATACAAAAACAGTAAATAAACACATTGTTGTGGTGCTGAAATTAGATTAGGACATACCAGTTTCAAAGAAACAAATAGAGAGCAAGCAACATGTCTTGGAACAGGCCACAATGTAAGCAAACAAAAGAGAATACTTGTTTGAGTATAAATGCAAGTTCAGAAAAAACTGTGTATGATTGTGTGTGTGTGTGTGTCGTTGAAACGGTCGTGTATTAATAGTGTGAAGAACAGACAGAAACAAGGTAAGAAAACAATTAAGGAACTGAATATCAATTAAAAAAATCAATCAATACAAGACTTCCTTCAATTAAGGAACTCAGATTCAACCGGTAAAATTATTTAAGGAAAGAAATCAACTAAATATCTTGTGCAAAGTAGGCAATTAGGGGTAAATACGTAGGGGTTTTAATTAAGGGAAGAATTTTGAAATACACGGTTTTAAAAAAAAATAAGGTAAGGATCCATCAGTATTCAGTAAATCAAGGGGTTAGAGATATTGTAAGCATTGGTCCACGAATGAACCAAGTCAGAAAAACTAAGGAAAACTTTTGACTCAAATCGAGTAACAGGGAAGTCAGCAAACATGGAATGAAAATCAATCAAACTTATACAAAGAAAGTCTGAAACCAATCACAACTGAAAGCCATTTAGAATGGAAGTTCAGCACATATAAAGAGTACACAAGTATCGGGCATGCGAGGCTGAATTTAGGACAAAGTGAAAGTGTCATGCAATTGCAAAATAAGTAAGTAGTAGACTATAGGAATATGGTAATTCAGCGATAGCATGCGAAAAAGGGGTCAAGTAAAGGTCTTATAGAGTTTAGCAAAAGTCAGAATCATACGAAGAAACAAAATTGAAGCAATGATTTTGAAACTTAATGAAGCAATAGATGAAACAACTCTAGGCACTCAAATAAGTCCAAAAGATTACGGTTTTTGAAATTAAGCAAGTTCAGAGATGAAGCACAAGCAAGTCACATAGCCAATGGTCTCAAAACTCGGATGAACCCCAAATTTAGGGTTCTTGCCATTAACCGAGTGCAGAGACGAAAGGGCAAGTGATTAATGGAAAAGATACTAATTGAAACAGGTTCAGACGTCTCAGAAAGGAACTGAGACCTTTAGCATTCTCTCTTAATAGTAGGAATTCATGATAAGTCATAGTAAAAGAACAGCATGCGAAACCAGTAGAAGAACTAGTAGAAGAAACAAATAAGAACATGGTGAACAACTTAACAAGAACACAGTAGGAGAAAACAAAGTAGACGAAACACACAAATAACACAGTAGAAGCAACTGATAAGAACATGGTAGAAGAACTAAACAAAAACACAGTAGGAGAAACTCAGAGAAGCACACAAGAGAAAAAGAAAATCAGAGAAACTTAACTCAAAAACCCTAGGTAGGAAAAATAAAGGTTTTGAAAGCGATGGCTTTTTAAAAAAAAAAAAGAAATATCAAAAATCGTTTTAAAAGTTTAGGGAAAACCTAGATCTAGAACAGATCTAAAGAAATCATAAGAACCACAGAAGCTAGGTTTGGTGAGAAATACTTGGATCGTTGTTGATCTGACCAGGAGGAGGCGAGGCCACGCTCAAACCAGACGTGGCTTGCCGGAGCAAGGCCGGAGATGGCTATAAAACTTGAATTGAACCAGGTTTGGATGAAGCTTCTTCGTGTTCAGACCATGAAACTCCATCGAACAGGTGTATAGGAGCCATAGAGGGTCGGTAGGTGGTGAAACCACCATGGATTCAGGCCAGGAGGTGGCCGAAGAAGATGGATGAAACTCACCGGAGCGGAGTGGGAGGGGGAAGGTTCTAGAGAGAACCAGAGATAGAGAGATAGAGGAGAGGGTCGGTTGAGTGAGGAATGAGAGGGGTTTGGGGGGGGGGGGTCGTTTGGGCTTAATTAGGTAAGGGCGGATCTAGACCGTTGACCAAAATTGATCAACGGTCAAGATTTGATCCGGGTTGGGCCAGGTAGACTTAGGATTGGGCCTGGGTCTTGGGTTGGTTTAATTGGGTTGGGGTAATGGGTTTTTAAATTTAGGCTAAATTAGAAAGCCGAAATCTGGCTATAAGTTAAATAGCCCCCTTTTCCCATTTAATTTATAAAAATAGTAAATAAATTTCTGAAAACTAATTGAAAGCACTAAAATAATTTATAATATATAATTAACAATTTAAAATTACAGGACTTAATTTTATGAATATAAAACACAATTGAATCTTAAAAGGGCTAATATTGCAATTATATGCAATTTAGCTTAAAAAAATACTAAATAAATTTGTAAAAATATGCAAAAAATTACCTCAGCTATATCTTAGCATAAATATAAAAATATAATAAATGAATTACCAAAATAATTACTTTGGAGATAACTTTCTCTCTCTAAAAATGCTCTCGGCGCACGTTAGGTAAACGTACGCCGAGCTTGTAGCCATGGCGAGAGGGAGAGGCAGAGGTAGGGGACGACCACGTAAGATACTATTAGCAGCTATTGAGAACCTTATAACAACAATCAAGCAACCAATTATGGAGAAAATAGTAACCACGCCACCAACAGTGCAAAGCTCAGATTCATCAGTTGCAGGTGATATAGGCTCAATTGGATCGACATCGTACCAATCTACAGTCTCAAAGAAGCTGGATCTGATCTCCCCAGCTCAGATTGGAGCAAAACCAGATCTAACGAAGAAAACCACCAATGGAACAGTAACCATGCAGAGTCCAGAGCAGGCCCAAGTACAACCAGTAGCAGCAGTAACGGAGGATTCCGGGGTCATCAATAACAGAACTGAAGAACCCAAGCAGACATGGTCAACACTGTTTCAGAAAAACAGATTTGCAACAAATGGTATGTCTCTAGATTATATACCACCTCTAATTGTTGATGGACAACCAATAGTGCAATTGAACAAATTAGAGGTAGAGGAGGAAGAGAAGAAGTGGAAATGTGCTTTAATTGCCTATATCTTAGGGGATGGACCTGGGTTTAATGCGATGAAGAGGTTTATTAACCTTCACTGGTCACATGTTCCAGAACCAGACCTATTTTATCATGATGAAGGCTAATACATAATTAAGTTCAAAACAATGGAAGATGCTAAGGAAATTCTCTGTGCTGGACCTTACTCTATAGCAAACAGACCTATAATTCTCAAACCATGGACTCCTGATTTTGACTTCACTGAGGAATTTCCTACTGATATTCCTTTATGGGTTAAATTTCCCAAGCTTCCTATGTCCTGCTGGGGAATGAGATCATTAAGTAGGATTGCAAGTGTCCTAGGGAAGCCTATTTTTGCGGATGAATGCACAACCAAACAGACTAGAGTCTCATATGCTCGGATGCTTATAGAGATTAATGTCACCAAAGAATTGCCAAATGAAATATGGGTGATGGATCCAAATGGGAAGAAATTCCTACAAGATGTGTTCTATGACTGGAAGCCATCCTTTTGTGAGAAATGTCAAACTATTGGCCACAGATGCACAGCCCAAGTGAAACCAGCTACAAACCAGCATGCTCAAATGAAGAAGGCAAAAGTAACATAGGAATGGAGAACCAAGGCCCCTGTACATGCTGCTCCTACTCAAAAAGAGACAATAATATCAGCACCACAACAGGTTGTCTCAAATGAGATAAATGAAGGTCAGAAAGAGCTTAATGAGCTACAAAGTCTGATGCCAGAGATGGGACAACAGGAAGATAAAGGAAAAAAAGTTCAGAGCCCAGAATTCAACCTCAGTAACTTCCCACCTTTGTCTCCTATTCCTGTAAGTAAAAGATTTGAAGCAGTGTCAAATGGTAACTATGAGGTGCCACCAGGGGATAGAGGTGGACCAAGTAATTACCAATGAAGTGGTTGTTCTGGAATATTAGAGGTGTAAATAAAAGGTATAAACAGAAGGAAGTTAGGGAGTACATTAGGAGCAATAAAATAAACCTAGTTGGTTTGGTAGAAACTAAGGTTAAAGAAACAAATGCTTACAGAATTGCTAATCCGCTGGTTCCTGGATGGGGTACTCTAACAAACTACAATGAAGCTAGAAATGGGAGAGTATGGATCTTATGGGATACAAATGTGCTCAAAGTTACTGGTCTTCAGGATGATCCTCAACTGATTCATTGCATAGTCAGAAGTATAAAGGGGGATGTTACTTGCTACCTCACTGTTGTATATGGATTCAATGGAATAGAACAAAGAAGGTCGTTATGGGGAAAACTACAGTCCTTTTCAACAACTATCACAGATGCATGGTTAGTTGCAGGGGATTTTAATGCTATATTATATCCCAAGGATAGACAATCATGTAATCCTGTTAGTTATTCTGAGACTCAAGAGTTTAGCCACTGTATTCAGCAAGCAGGACTTTCAGAGTTACCTTGGAAAGGAGACTATTACACCTGGACAAACAAGCAGCCTGGAGCAGATAGAGTATGTAGCAGATTGGATAGAGTATTTGGCAACTATGAATGGATGATGAAGTGGAGCCATGTGGAAACAGTTTATGATCAACCACAAATCTCTGATCATAATCCTATGATACTGACTCTAGCAGCATCTTCTTGGAAGGGTAAGGTACCTTTTAGATTCTTTAATGCATGGACTGAGCATGATGAATTTCAACAGATTGTGGCATCTACCTGGTACTCTACAAATTACCATGGTTCTATGAAAGCAATATGGGCAAAACTCAAAGCACTGAAAGGCCCTCTAAAGGCCTTGAATGTTAAGGAGTTCAAGAGTATTACTCAGAAGATAGAGCATAACAGACAGGAACTGAAGGAAATTCAAGAACAAATGGCAAGGGCATATTCTGATGTGTTACTTCAGAAAGAGAAAGAGATAGTATTGAAATTGGAAAGGTGGTCTTTGATTGAAGAAAGTGTGGTACAGCAGAAAGCAAGAGCAAAGTGGATTCAACTTGGAGATTCTAATACCAAGTACTTCACAGCAGTTATGAAGGAAAGAACACAAAGGAAACAGATCACAGAACTTACAAATGGAATGGGAGTTAAAGTAAATGAGCCTGCAGACATAAAAAGGGAGATTCTAGGATTTTACAAGTCACTTATGGGCTCAACAGCTGCATCACTACCTGCTATAAACAGAATGTATATGGCTAATGGTCCAATGTTGTCACAATAACAAAGAATGGATCTCTGTGCAGAAGTAACTGAACTGGAAATTGTGGAGAGTCTAAAAGCAATTGGAGATGATAAAGCCCCAGGAATAGATGGCTGCTGTTTTTTTCAAGAAAACTTGGAACACTATCAGCAGGCAGGTCATAGAAGCCATCAAGGAGTTCTTCCTAACTTCCAAGATGTACAAACCAATAAACTGTGCCACTATTACCTTAATCCCCAAAGTCTCCAAACCCACCACAGTCAAAGAGTATAGACCTATTGCATGTTGCTCAGTTCTATACAAAATGATATCCAAGATCCTAGCCAACAGACTCCAGAAAATCATGCCCAGCATCATTTGTGAAGCCCAAGCAGGCTTTATTCCTGGCAGAAAAATAGCTGATAATGTTATCCTTGCTCATGAGTTAGTCAAAAACTACACTAGAGCTCATGTGTCCCCCAGATGTATGATTAAAATTGACCTCCAGAAAGCATATGACTCAGTTGAATGGATCTTTCTACAACAGGTGATGGAGGGGATTGGATTTCCAACCAGATTCATTAATTGGATCATGGAGTGTATAAAAACAGTTAGTTTTTCAGTGCTTATTAATGGAGAAGCTACAGAACCATTTGAAACTGCTAGAGGACTTAGGTAAGGGGATCCCATTTCCCCTTTCCTGTTTGCAATAGTTATGGAGTACCTCAGTAGATCACTTGCTGAATTGAGGAAAGAGTCAACATTCCAATACCACCCTAGATGCAAAAAGCTAGGTATCACTCACATGAGTTTTGCTGATGATCTACTACTGTTTGCCAAAGGAGACCTTGAATCTATTACTGCCATGTTTCAATACTTCTCTCAATTCTCTGAAGCCTCTGGACTACAAGCTAATTTGGGTAAAAGCTCAGTTTACTTTGGGGGAGTAAAACAGGAAATGAAGAAACAGATTATTGATCACCTGGGATTTGCACATGGAGAATTACCATTCAAATACCTTGGTATTCCTCTATCCACCAAGAAAATTGCCTTGATTCAATGGCAACCTTTAGTGGAGAAGATTACTGCCAAGATCACTTCATGGACTGCCAAGAAGTTATCTTATGCTGGGAGGTTGCAATTAGTTCAATCTGTGGTATTTGGCATTCAAGCTTATTGGGCTCAATTGTTCATCATACCAGTCAAAGTGCTGAAGATAATTGAAGCAATCTGTAGAAGCTTTATATGGTCTGGATCCAACACTATTACTAAAAAAGCTTATGTTTCATGGGATAGGATGTGTACTCCTAAATCTGCTGGTGGAATGAACCTCATCAATTTTCTGCTATGGAACAAGGTAGCAATTGCAAAGGTATGCTGGGATCTAGCTCATAAAGAGGATAAGCTGTGGATCAGGTGGATTAATGCTTTCTATATAAAACATTATCAAATAGAGGATATGCCAATTCCTAAACAGGCTAGTTGGATGGCTAGGAGAATAATTGCCTCAAGAGATATTCTGCAACAACTCCAAGGCTCAAGTGTTCACAAGGGCTCCATCAGACATATATACCTACAACTACTAGGAGATCTACCAAGAGTAAGTTGGAAGAACCTAATCATGCAGAACTATGCTCGACCAAAAGCAGTGTTCAATCTATGGTTAATGCTACAAGGAAGATTGGCAACCAAGGATAGACTGGCTAAATGGGGAATGAACATAAACCAACAGTGTGTTTTGTGCCAAGGACATATAGAGACAAGAGAACATTTATTCCTGTCATGCTCATTTTCAGAAGACTTGTGGGAGCAAGTAATGCAATGGATTCAAGAGGACCAGCCAAAGAATCATACCTGGGACCAAAGGCTTCAATGGATCATTAGCAAAACTAAAGGAAAATCAAGCAGAGCCAGTATTTTCAAGATGGTGATCACTGAAGTTTCATATGCACTATGGATGGAAAGGAATGCTCGTATATTTGAGAACAAATATCGCAACAGTGAAGTCTTAGCAAGAGAGCTAGCTTACATATGTAATGCTAGAGGAAATCCTAGAACTAGAAAGCAGATGCAGCAATTCTTGATATAGTAGACTAGTAGTTAACATAGTTATGGTGAGCTAGTATTTTAGATGAGATTTGATAGTCAGCTGAGTATAAGCTGGACTATGGCATTGTACAGCATGATCTTTGGTGATTAATAAAAAAATTTTAATTACCAAAAAAAAAATAATAACTTTGGAAATAATTATTGGCTTTTTATGGATGAAAAGGGAAATAAATTAGTTTAAAAACCTTAAAAAATTATGGAAAAAAATAGTAAAATGCTTGGACATACTTATATAAGCATATATATGCTATTTCAAAGATATTTGCTTATAAAAATATACAGGAAAAAATTGGGTATCAATAGGTTATACGAACATAGTACCTCGAGCCTTAACTTACTCTTAATATATAATTTACTCCATAACTCCACGAACTCTAATATATAATTTACTCTTAATTTCATGTCAAAAATCGTGGTCAAATCCATGAATACAAACTTTCTAGGTTTTCCCTCAAACCCCAAGTTTTTCAATAATTTACATGCTAAAATCCATATATAATCAATATATTTAACTCAAGATGGGTGGGGTTAGCTTACCTTGTCGTTGATGATGAAAAATCCCCACTTGAAGCTCTCCAAAGTCGCCCACACCAAATGAAAATGGGAGAAAAATGACCTTCTCCCGATTTTAAAAGAACACACTGCCTCCAGTCCTTCCGCACCTGCGATGCACAAGCCGCACCTACGGCAACCGCTTCTGCGGCTCACGTGCCGCTTCTCCGGTCCCAAGCTCAGGGCCTACAACCGCTTCTGCGGTCAGTCCAACACTTCTGCGGTTGCGCAGATGCGTCAAAAGACCCGCATCTGCGGTCCTCCCCTTGGCTGCCTATTCCGCACCTGCGATCTCCCAGGCCGCTACTGCGGCTCCGCAACTGCGGCCACAACCTCGCAGGTGCGGTTACACCATATACCAGCTATTGAGATCCTTCTTCATATCTCCAAATTTGATTCGTTAACCATCCGGAATCCACCCGAGGCCCCTGGAACCCCAACCAATCATACCAACCAGTCCCAAAACACATTATGGACTTGCTCGAGGCCTCAAACCATATCAAACAACGCTAAAATTATAAATCGACCTCCAATCCAAACTTAATGAACTTTAGAATTTCAAACATCTTCATTCGATACCGACACCTATCAAATCACGTCCGATTGACCTCAAATTTTGCACACAAGTCATATTTGACATTACGGATCTACTCCAACTTCCAAAATCGGAATCCGACCCGATATCAAAAAGTCCACTTCCAGTCAAACTTCTCAAAAACCTTCAAATTTCTATCTTTGGCCAAATGACTCCAAAATGACCCACGGACCTTCGAATTCACTTCCTATCGCGCTCCCAACACCAGAATCACTATACGGAGCTATTCCCAAACTCGGAATCCCAAACGGACATTGATAACACTGAAATGCACCTTAACACAAACTTATGAAATTCTTCAAAAAATGCTAACTTCCACAATAGGTGCCAAAACGTTCCCAGGTCTTCCAAAACCTGATCCAGACATACGCCAAAGTCCGGAATCATCATACGAACCTGCTGAAACCTTCGAATCCCGATTCCGAGGTCGTTTACTCAAAAATCCAATCTTAGTCAAATCATTCAACTTAAAGCTTCTGAAAAAAGAATTCTCTCTCCAAATCAACTCTGAACTTCCCGGAATTCAATTCAGACCATGCGTACAAGTCATAATACCTTAAATGAAGCTGCTCATGGCCTCAAACTGCTGAACGGCGCGCTAGAGCTCAAAACGACCGCTTGGGTCATTACATTCTCTTCCACTTAAACATACATTTGTCCTTGAACGTACTATGAACTGCGGTGGAGTTGTCTGAAATCACAGTTAAATGCCTTGTGCTCCTACTCGTGCTACCACAACTCAATTGAGCACATTAACTCGATTAAATCTGAAGAAATTCTCTTTTATTCAAACAAATAAGCTTAGAACCCAATTCAAACAGCCGGAATTCCCCGCCAAGCCTGCTTCCAACATATGAACAGCGTAGTAATCACTACACGAGGTACTAGAACATGACTGCATAACTTTGTCGAATTTTCACCATGCACCACATCATTCACGAGACCATAATAACATTCTCTGATCATAATAACCGACATTCCCCTAATCTGATGCTCACAACAGACCTCATGATATATACAAGTCTTGTTCCAACTCTGGCAACACCGCCACGACAGAGGAGACTTGTAGAAACTCATAACCAACTGCCAAGTCCACAAGTCATCGAGGCTACACTCCTAACAAGAACATTGCCTCATTCTGAACCAAATAACGATCTTTGCTCTTTAATATACTTCATACAGTCCGATTGCACTGATCCTAGATACAATAACCCTGTCTCACCCAGTACAAACTGCTCAGGCAACAAGCCACCCCAGACATGACCAAAAGCCTCATATAATGCCACAATGTGCCAATAGGCTACCAATTCGAACATGATACATAAGGAAACCGAACTCTGGAAGGGACTACTCAACTCACGCTGCTAATATGGACTTCCCTAGGAAAATGGAAAACAAAACACACAAAAATTAGAATACGGAAAACTGTACTCAACATCATACTGTTGCGGCGTGCAACCCGATCCAAACAACATACCCATGGCGGCGTGCCACCCGATCCACACATAAAATTCACATAAGGAGATTTACACCGAGCTATATTGCTCATTACAACAAAATATAGAATATCGGTCACATGCACGCTAAGTGCATAATACCACCCCCTGAGGGGCGCTAAGTGCATAATACCACCCCCTGAGGGGACATATAGCGCCATAAGCTAGCAAAGTCAAGCACAACTGAGGTGCGATATATGTTCTAAAACTAAAGAGCCATGCTGCTCACATAACACCATCACTACGCGGAACCTCAATACATAAGAAATTACCAAGCAATTTCGCAACTC